GAGGAGCCATTTGATTTCTTATATATATATATATAAAGTTGTTATACTCTATTGAATTTTTTTTTTTTGGATATTATTATTTTTTTTTGGATATTAATATACTCTATTGAATTTTAGAGCCATATATCATAGCCTATACACCACCCCCTGTTCGCAGTCCTTTCTGTGCCAACACTTGTGGTGACTCTCCTTGAACATTGGTCTCTACCACTACTTCATTGGGCATCTTCTTATTGACATACTATTTCTGGAGAGATACATATCTAGTTCTAAATCCATAAAAATCAGGTAAATGATATGTTGTTGGTTGTTTGATTAGTTTAAATACTACCGACAATAATATTAAATTAAATCAATAACATCTTCATAAATATACAGTTTTGGTTTAAATTTTTGTCAATGCATGATCCATCACTAATATTCCATATATAAGTATTAATGTAAGTTATCGCTAAGACTTTTAATAAATGAATCATGTCGTTGTTTTAAAATGAAATAACCTCTCTTTTCTTTAAATTTTCTTCTTCGATGAAAAGATAAAAGATAAAAGATATATATATGTATGGTGTAAAGAACCTTGGAATACACCACCCCAAAAGCTAGCTCAAAGAGTGGGAGTGCCCAAGACCTTATAAACTCCACATTAGTTGCACATACAACCAATGTGAGACTATATATCTCAACATATGGGAAAAGTTATAGTTACTACTTTTTTTTCTTACTACTTGTCACTACCGACCGTTGATTTCCGTCAAACTAACGGTTAGATTATATTAGAATTAATAATTAACTAATAAATATGACTCAATAAATTATAACTGTTAGATTGACGAAAATCAACAGTTAAGATTTGATAGTAACAAGTAATAAAAAAAACTAATAACAATAACATTTCCCAATATATATATATATATATATATATATATATATATATATATATATATATATATATATATATATGGTAAGGGCAAAAATGGTAGTGAAAGCGAGAGTTCTAGTATAAAAAATCGCACAAACGACACAAATGATAGTGATTTCACTAGAAGAGAAAGTTCTAATGATCTCGATGAAAATCAAAAGTACAAGCATTTGTGGATAGAATGTGAAAATTGTTATGGATTAAATTATAAGAAATTGTTTCAATCCAAAATGAATATTTGTGAGCACTGTGGATATCATTTGAAAATGAACAGTTTAGATAGAATTGGTTAAAAATATCAGGCTGTGATTTTTCAAATGTAATTTTTTTCTGAGTTTTTTAAACATTTTGAACCCCAAACATTTAGTAGCCGAAGACTAAGGAATAAATATATAAATAAATAAAAGATTGAGTGAGCATTACCCACAACTAATGTTGTTAAAATCGAGATTTTAAGTAAAATAGGAAGGAATTAAAAAATCGTAAAACATATAATCGCAATGTAAAAAAATCGTAAAAGATTGTAAAAATGTAAAAATGTTTGAAATATTGATAAAATCATTTTAATGAAAAAAAATCGTAAAATCGTAATGATAAATCGAGATTTTAACAACTATGCCCGGAACTCATCCTCATTTGATGGAGGGATATGCTAGAACGGCTAACTACCAGACACGTCGTCAAAAGGAAAGACCATTATTACTTATCTCCTTTTAGTTAATGCCCAATTAAAGTGGTTTTCTTTTAAAATTTTAATCAATTAATCTTATCCATCTTGTGGGACAAGAAACCTAGAAAGTAAGAGCAAATCTGGTACACGTAAACCTTTGCAAAAAAAAATAAGAACAAGAATCACATAATTGAAAATCAAATTATCAAGCCACTAGGACTGTTTCGATAATGAGAAAGTTTGATTATAATGTATTAAGTCATTCTATTCTTGACACTGATTTTGAGATAAAACAGTTTTTCTGATTATATGCCTTAGAAGAATTATGAGAATCAAAATTACGTTTATTAACCTATTTTATTTTTATTCTATAAATCAGAATTAAGTTTATTAACACAATTTTTTTTATTCTGAGAATCAAAATTACATTTGATAACAGAATACAACCAAGTGCTTGGCTAGTAAATATGGGTGTTGGCGTCAATGGACGAAAGAGAAAGAAAGAGATGGATGACCGATGAGATGATGTGGCTTACAAACGATGGTGCTTGGTCGACAGAGTTAATGACGGGATGATAGAGGAAGGTGATGATGACTTTGGCGGAAGGAGAGTGGAGATGGTTGGGTCAGTTGTGAGAGACTTGCTTGTGAGTCGGCGGTGGACGTTTTGTAGATTCAGTGATGGTGAAGACTAATGGTCGAAGGGTTCTGGTAGAGAATATGGTTTGCACATCATAATTGCCTTTGAATTGGCTCGAAATTCGTTATAAATCTTGAACTGATTTTAAAACATGAAATGATTTTGAATCAATTCAGAAAAAATAAAACCAATTCAAATTAAATAAAATAATTTGATTCGATTCAGTAGAAAAATCAATTCGGGTCAAACCATACACACTTTAACTAGAAGGTCTCGGTAGTCTATTAATAACTCACATTATTGTGTTATTGAAAATGCTTGGTTCATGATCTTCATCACATCTGACATTTATTTAGGTGATAAAACTGTAATCATATAACGAAAACTACCTAATTGCAAAGTAATATACGTGTATTTATTTTTACTTTAAAAACTCCATACAATCTTATCATTAAAAGGAATATAATTTTTCATATTAAATGAGATAAAATTATTTCATATACATATAAAAAAAGGGTTTAGTGTGTGTGTCATTCAAAAAGACACAAGTTGTTTCTTTTTAGTGATTTATACAAAGTACGACTGTGTAATTCTGAAAAGTTACTTTTTTCACTTTACACGTCAGCGATGTGACTGGGAAGAGAAAAAAGAAATAACTTTTCAGTTTTACACAAAGTACGACATGTCGTACTTTGTGTAAAATACCTAAAATAACACAAGTTTGTGTCATTCAAAAGGATATTTCTTTTTCTCGTAAAAAAATGGATGAATTTTCTCTCTTCTCTTTATTAAATCCCATCCACTCTTTTATGTATATTTTATCATATACAATACGAGAAACTATATTCCAATCATTAAAATGGGAAAAGAAATTAACGCAAGTCATCTGTATTTAGAAAGTGACGGCCATTTCAACCTAACATATCATTTTCATTAGACTTCCATGCCAGCTTACCATGTAGAAAATGGGCCAAATACATAACTAAATATTATGCGTGTCTCAATTGCTTTCATGCATTCTCAAAATTTTCCAACATGTTACATGCAGGAGAACATGCCCAGACTCTTCCAAGATAAGGTTTGGATAAGTACTCGAAATGCGCTCAGTCAAAGTTCAAATCCTGAAAAAGATAAATATTGAAAGGCATAAAGGGGTTAGTGAAGACTCTTCCACAAAATACACACAACAGAAATTCCGCCTGCACAGAAAAAAAAAGTTAAACGCACGAAAAATCTCCGGGACAAATGAATAAAGCAAGTTAATGTGTTTATCCCGGTACAACGAATTACATGAAATTTTCTTCTATTTTTCCCTTTTAAGAAATTAATGTTCGTCTTTTTAAGAGATATATAATTTTATCATTTTAGTCAAAATTACTGTACTTTATAGTAAAAGAAATAGAAATTATAATGGAAAAAAATGAGAAATATTTTTATTTAAATATTAAATAAATAATTTTAATTAAAATGTCTGTCCTTTAAAAGAACAAATGTTATGTATAAAAAAAGAATAAATATTATGTATAAAAAAAGTAAAGTAAATACCTTTTTTGGTCCTCAGAAAATTTCACGATACCCGTTTTAGTCCCTAGCAAATAAAAAGGTCCATTGTGGTTCCTAAGAAATTGAAAATGGACCCATTTTAGTCCTTTTAGGGACTAATATGGGTCTTTTTTGAATTTGTGAGGGACCGCTATTTAAACTAAATGGGTCCATTTTGAATTTCTTAAGGACCATGATGGACCTTTTTATTTGCTAGGGACTAAAACGGGATTCATGAAATTTGCTGAGGACCAAAAAGAGTATTTACTCAAAAAAAGTAAATATTTTCTTTTGAAAAAAATTACATGGAAGTTTTTACTTTAAGAGGTGTTTGGTAGAAGCTTTTTTTTTTATTCCAAGGAAACTGATAGTGGAAATCTAATTTACCCATATCTAGTACACGGATTGAAAAAAAAATTTATGGAAAAATCAAATTCTTAGAATTTGAAATTATGAGGCCGAATCTCATTCCAAAATACCACCACATAGGTAGTATTCTTGAAATCTCCTTCTTCTTTGTACTATTTTGGTCCATTCCTCTTTGCATTCTCTCTCCTCTCCACCTACCATGGCCATCATCTTGACAAATCACAGTCTTCAACAAGTGTGGCTTTTCTGCATTCCAGTGGTGTATTCACTTCACTTATGTGGGAAGTAATTTTTCCTATGGATGGTTCGTGTTTGGCATAAGCTAGGTGAAATTGGAGAAAGAAAGCGAGCTGAGAATAGAAGTGGATAACAATGTACTTCTTTGCCTTCGACTCCTTAATGGCACCGGTGAGATTTTTGGCACTGAGCTTCCCCTTGAAATCTGGCTCAATTTTCCTCCCAGGCTCAGAAGCATTGTGAAAGTTGAAGCCTTGTACTAGTATCACTTATCTTTTTATTAATTAATATACCCCATGGAGTGTTACTATTGTTAATGATTTTTTAATACAATTCTCATCTGCATTCCAGTTTGGCTTTTGGTTGCCGGTGTTGATTGAGAGTGAGCGAGAAAGAGTTGAGAGTGATAAGGTTAATCACCTCATTCTCAATAATATTTGACAACGAACCAAATATATAATCTTGAGCAAATATTCCCAGTAATATTTTAATCAATCAAACAGGGTCCCCGAGAAACTCACTTTCCCACGGATATTAGTAGGAATTATGATTCTTAGGCACACAAAAATGTATCTTCTATCAAAAGCCCCCAAATATTTTACATGGAATTCTTTATTCAAAAATAAATACAATAACCTTTTACATTCTGGTTTATTTTACTTTACATTTAACGCGTGTATGTGTAAGTTTGCGTAATTCTCACATATGAGGAGTTTTATGTAATGTATTTATTCAATACACAATACTTCACAAAATATTTAAAAAATAATAATGTAACTCTACAAATATAATTAAGAAAATTTGTTAAATTATAAAACAAACATTTCTTATGCCTCAAGGGTCCTGCGCTGAAACTCCTTTTATTGTTCTCTCAGAGCAGCAGCTATCTTCTTCTGGAGGAGCTCCACTCCTAGACGTGGAGAGAATCGTGGTAAAGTTTCCTGGAAAACAGGACAACATTAACATAAGATGCAGATTTTTTTTCTCTCTGTTGTTTCGAGTCTTTTAGTTTGTATTATTTTTTTTGGCAATCATGAAAGTTACAAGGCTAAAGAAATCCTAGAATCAATGACCATAGGCTATAGCAGAGCAAAATATATAAGCTTGAGCATCCAAAACTCACATCAGTAGATTACAAACAAGGCGATGGAAAAACCAAATGGGGCAACACGTCTCACAAGCTGCAAAAAGGACCGACCCACAAACCAGATGGGAGTATCAACGTAAATTAAAATCCAGAAACAGTGGCGGAATCACCTATTCATTGAGCAAAGACCAACAAAAATTTAGGTGAAGCCTAGCAAAAATTTTATCCTAAAACTTAGCCATAATTATTTAACCAGTTAAAATATAGCTAATTTTCGAATTTTAACCCAAGTCAAAATCTCACCCTACCTCTAAGTGACTCCGCCACTGTCCAAAAACAAAACAGGGAAAGCACACAAGAATCAAACAGTTGGACGCTAAAACCACAAAACAAACAGGACTACCAAAATTCTAATGGACTGGTTTCGTTCCATGAGCTTAACCTTCATACAGACGGCTGAGTAATTGCAGAGCACACCTTTTTTTTTTTGGGTCAAATGCAGAGCACCTTCCAAAAGAGAAAAGTACAAACTTTTTTTTTGGTACAAAAAAAAAAGTACAATCTTATATGGTACTTCTTCAGGTCTAGGATGGCCAACATTTAACCCAGTCCAATCAGTGGCTGGGCATACACCATGCATTGTGGCCCAAGTTCAGCTGCGGATACTTTTTTGGCTGGACTGAGAGAATGACCAGACCATAGGTCACCCTTTGATAAGAAAATGCACAATGTTTTATGCATGACTAATATCTCTGAAAATGAATATTGATTGGATTGCCACAATACAGAGATAAATCTTTCTTTACATAGGCCCATCTAACCGAATGCAAGCCGACACAGTAGTACAATTTTACAACTGAAATTTAATGCTTATCTCATAAAAATACAGGGTGTCGTTAATCAAATTTGGTGAGTAGGTCTGTATGCATGTTTATGACATTATTTTCTACATAAATTCTCAATAGTGAATATTGGCAATCCTTAAGCCATAATCTTTGTCTACAAATTCAAAAAACCCTAAAATCCAAGGGTTTCCAGAGCCCATGGCCGTTAAATTAATTACCTGATCCAAAGCCTTAAAACCTTGAATTAGATTTGGCCGTGAATAAACTGCAAAAAATATGTTCAACTATAGCACATTGTGGCTTTGAAACTCCATCCTATTTAACCCCAAGTCAATTTAAATCCACATAAAAATTTAGACAAAATTATTTTAGAATGATGCACAGAATGAATGACATAAATGGCTAGGTTTCATTCTATCAAGTGCCCTTGAGTCCATAGGGAAAAAACCACTCCCCATTAAACTCCGACTAGGGAGGGTAGGGGTGAGGACAATCCTTGTGCACAGCTTTACGCTTATATATTTGCAAAAGGGCTATTTTCCGTATTTGAACCTATGACCTTCCGGTCACAAAGGAGCAGCTTTACCACTGCTCCAAGCTTGCCCTCTTTAAAAAAAAGGAAAATGAGAAATAATCCAAGATTTCTTGATTTCCAAAATGAAAGTGAATAAAATAAGTTATGGTGCTTATCTATAAGGATCCTAAGTTACCCCTACTTTATGTTAGTGTGTATAATAATTAACTACACCTACCAACTTACAAGCAAGCAACTTGGGACTTTTTTCCTGGGCAAAATGAAGACTAAGAACATTACAAATTATAGAGAAGTTATTTTGAAGAATTCCTTGCAGAATTTCTCAATCAACCTTTCCGTTAATTTTCGGTCTAGCTGTTTTGCATCAAGATGTGTCAAAAGTCAACATCCATGTGAATTGTGCATCTTCATTCCACCATTCTTAGTTGATAGATAAGTTCATAATTCATGTAGAACTTATTTCATTTGAATATGATTTGGTGGCACATAATAGAAGGTTTGGAAAGGTAAATCGAAGGAAGAGAAGCGGGGGATTATTGCTTCCATGTGGGCAGGCTGACCTAGCAAAGGGTGATGGTGGAAATAGGGGTTAGTGTCACGCTGTTGGCATCACCAAAGTTTGTTGAAAAGGAGGGAAGGGAAGGCTGAAGGGGATTGTCTTGGTTAGTTGGGACTTTTGGGCTTTTGGGAGAGAATCAAAACCTCTCTGATGATCTGGGAAGAAGTTGTAATTGGCCTTCATTTCTTTCTTGCTTTTCATTACTTGTAATTTCAATTCCAGTTCCATAATTTTCCCCTTTAAACACTATATTCTAATCCTCCATTGGACCTGTGTTAAGGTTCCAATATATAAATCTACGTCTTCTTTTTCAATTTTCCTTTCCCTGTTTCTGATAGCTACAGAATCATAGTTACTAGTTTCCTGCAACAGCCCGCACAGTTGCTCATTGCCCATGGCAATGGGATTGGGGCAATAAACCTCTCTTGCCTTGCCCATTTTATATTGTCCAGTTATTGCGCAAGCGACTTGGACAACATTTAAGATGGTGGAGCACTTATAACCCCCCCTCAAAAGTCAAAATGTAGGCCAAAATTAACCATTTCTCACCTGACACTTGGGAGAACACAACAGTGGTATTCTCTGGCCAAAGAGAGGGCATTTTAGCAGCCTTTAACCAAGTACATTTTCCTTGTCTCTTTGCTTTTGTCTTTGCAGTAACATTGTTTATGTACAGAACCTTAGACTTATGCATAATGTGTATCATTAGTTCTAAAAAAAAAAAAAAAACACTCCCCGTTAAACCCGACTAGCGAGTGTGGGGTGGAGGTAATCCTTGTACGCAGCCTTACCCTTGCATAATTGCAAAGAGACTGTTTCCTGAATTCGAACCCATGACCTTTCAGTCATAAAAGAACAACTTTACCACTGTTCCGGTTCGCCCCCTTTAATGTGTATCATTAGTTCACACAGATAAATTTAAAGACAAGATTCTACATAACAAGGAATTTAAGTTCTGGAATTAAACAGACGACTCTCTAACGACATGACACACCCTGTTTGCTAAGATACTATATTTTGTATATCGTGCATAAATATTGTCAGAATTTTCTTAGTCTTTCTAAATATCTATTTCTGAAGTCAACTTTCAGGTTGTAAGTAATTAGAAGCTTAAGTATGAGTTACTGATATTTTTTATCATTCTCAAATTTATTGAGGATTTAAATTACATTTGAAATTTGAATGAGAGCTTGTATAGTCCTGTATTAACTATTCACTATTAGTTATAATAATGTTATTCTGGACTATATCAAATTCATTTCATATGATATGATATGATCACAGTTCAGTATCTCCCTGCACAACGGGCACTGGTACTAAGAGCCCTTGACACAATACTGCACCACGTACAATAAATTACAGATATCTAAATACAGAAGAAAATTTAGATGAAATGTCAGTGTAACATTTGATCAGCCAACAATTAGGTGCCAAACGATGTGCAAACACCAGGGAAAACTGGAACTACTAAGAAGTATTACAACCAAAAACATGGCATAGGGAAAATGTGAATAAAAATGGGCTTAGAAGGGAGTCAAGCAAAAAACTAAGAAATTGGACAAAATATATACCTTCAAATAAAAGTACTCAATGATGACTCAAATGAGAAGTTAAAAGATTGCATACAGTGCTTAACAACAAGCCAAGTCCAAACTAGAGGACTACATCTTACATTGGAGAAAGAAAGGATGAATATTGTGACATCAGATTAAAAAAAGAAAAAGTGTGTGATAAAGATATAAGAATAGGGAATAATCTTGAAGGAAATAATAAACTTCTTAGTCAAGTAGTTCAGGACTTCATAAAACCACAAAGTAGGAGAGGTATCCTTGTCCTTGTATTTATTGTGATTGAAAAAAAAAAAAAATTGCAAGAAAAAGCATCCTTTCAATCACCAGGAAAATTCATTTTCACACTACTGATTGCCGGTTAGCCAACAAGCATCACATGCCAGGTTCAATAACAGGACTAGGGCATGAAAGCCACACATGGCAATATTTTTCAATCATCAAACTTTAACTATTGAAAGGGATTAAAAAAGGAAAGTAAGGAATAACTTGCGCTTGTGCAAAGAAACCCGAGTCCCTGCTAAAGCATAATACACAAAAAAGCTACGCATTTGCCTAACTTGTAACCCTTCACCAATGCGTGCCCTAATTTCAACAAGAATTTAGATGGAGAAAAAGTAAAGTAGTGTGTTTTTGAAACAAACCTCGGTACCATCAGATAGCACTTTAGCCAACACAGGTATCTCATATTGGTAAGCTCTTTCCCACTCGGGATTGCTGGTTATATCTCTTATCTGACAAAACCCAACATCAAAATCAAAAACCTCATATTCATTCATAGTCATGCAATGCATACAACATACGAGGAGAGAGAGAGAGAGAGAGAGAGAGATCTATATACATGGAAATCAACGTCGTGAAGGGAATCAGGACCAGAGAGCAAGAATGCAGCTTGAAGCTTCTCTTTGAGGCCATCGCACAAACAGCAACCGGGTTTTGAATAAAGGACGAGCTTTCTAGAAGCTGAAGGTGCAGATGAATAACAGAGAGGTTTCAATTTGAAAGCCCTTTGTCCACTTAACAACGTAACCGGCGAAGACCTTGCTGTTGCTGCTACTGCTAACGCTGCCACTGCACTGGCAACCACCATTCTTCTCAAAACGCACAAAGCGGTTACGAAGGAACCAAATACAAATTTGCTAGATTTGGCTCCTCTTAAAATTAATCACTTGGTTATTACTACATGATCTTATTGACTTGTATTGATTAAATTTATTATGTTTAATTTGAATTTGTGAGTTTTAAATTTATATAATTCAATAAAGAAACTATTCATGCGTTTTTGTTTAAAAAAAAAAACTAATCGAATAAAAGATAAATTAAATATTAAAGTATGAGTTTGGTGTTTATCATTTTAAGAGAGAAATAGACACAAACCCAATGGGTTCAGTTGGTAACTTGGCGCTGAGTTAGTGAGGTTGGATATGTGTTCGATTCCCGCTGAATGCATTCTTGGGGAGGGGCTGAACCTTTAGACATTACTGTTCCCCTGCACTCCGGATTAGTCTCATAGCCGACTCAAAGAGTCGAAGCTCGTGGGGATACCGGAGGGAGCCAACTCGTCTCAAAGAGATAATTAGGGTTGGGTAACTCCAAAAAAAAAGATAGACACAAAGAATAAAAATCATGAGAGAGTGAGTGGTTTTTTATTTATTTAAATTTTAAATAAAAAATATTATTTTATGTCTATATCTCTTTTAAAATGACATAATTTTATGCCATTTAAAATTACAAATAATTTTCCCTTAAAGTATATTTAATTAAATTATCATTATTATTATTGGACTAATAAATTAAACAAGCGATGATTCATTTAAAATATAAGTCTAAGATTTAAATTTATTGAATTATTAACAACCGAGTTACGAGAAAGGTCAAGAGCATGCAGTGGCACAAGTTATTTTTAACTAGCGTGATTGAAAAATATCACCTGTTATCCATTGTTGTTTGTAATAAAGTGGTCGATTGAACTGCCAAATCTGAGAACTGAGAACTGGTCTCCAATTTGACTTTTGTTCAATGTTATAACAGTTTTCACAGTTGGAGAGGTTGAGACTGGGAAAAAAAATTGGTTGGATTAGACAGTTTTTGTTGCTTAATGTCAATTTAAAATATAAAAAGTTTATATTTGACTTACTAAATTGTATACGAATGGTTCGATTCGACTAGATGTTTTAACAGGTTGAACATAAACGGGAAAATGTTGTATAATGACAAATGGCAATTACAATTTAATCCTTTGTTAACTAGGAATAAAGTTACTTTTCTTTTTGGACCTTATTCAAAGTAAAATGAAAATCCTATTATAAGTGAAATTATAATAAACTTGTATAGTTGTATTCCAGTTAAGGCCCATAGATTAATATAATAATGTAATCAATAATAGTATATAATAAACTCATATACTTAACACTTCACAAGCATTCCAAATCCAAATTTACCTTGTCCCTTCTTTAAAACACGGCATATCAGTTCCCAGTCATGGGAGATCAATTACAACAAACATTTTGAATTGTGAATGCTTTTCCCAAGTACATGATGAAGGAGTTCATAGACATAGCAGATTCTCAATTATCTAAACCGATCACCATCATTCGTTTAGGTTCAAGAAAGTACCAAACTCTTCAATTTCTGCATGACTGCATATATGTAAGTAACGCTCACCAAACCCCTTGCAGGGGTAATCCACTAAATGGAAGGATCCACAAGAAGAAAAACTATACAACGATGGACTCATCCTTGATTCTCCAAAACTTGAGAGAACAATTTGGTATTGGTAAGTGACATAAGAAAGCAATATCTATATGAGCTTCTTCTTCCGAAAATAGCGCTTCAGATACCACAGCTGCAACACCGAAGTCAAAATGCAGACGCCAAGAGAAATGATACTGAACCATGCGACTCTACCATTCGTTGCTTCACTAACTTCCCTCATCTCCGCTTCCCTGTAGCAATGTTCCAAAAAATGAAGTTTTGATACATAGTGAAGTGGTTAGAACTTAGAAGAACCTAACTTCATAAAGGCCTCACAACAGAAAGATTGCATACTGAGTAAATAAAACTGAAATTAAACATCACAATGAATATAAGAGATTTACCTATTCTTCAAATAAATTAGATTATCACGGATGGCTTCCACAGCTCCTTCAAGTTTCATTAGCTCAAGTTCAACACCCTTAAATCAATGCCCAAAAGGAATAAGGCATTAAACACTTCTGTATGAGTTAATCCCATACAGATATTACAAAGACAATGAATGGAATTCATTTGTTACCTCAATCTTTTCTTTTTTTGCAACAGAGTCCCAATCTTTAGCAGAAATTCCAGTTTTCCATTCAAGGCTGATTGTGAGACCTCCTGAACCTTCTTGATGTTTACTCTCCATCCAAAAGCACGCCACGTAATTCCCACTTTCCGCAGTTGTAAATGCAAACTGACCATGAGTAACATTTTCATTGTGGTGAAGATTATTTCCATAAGGAGATGTCACCTGCGAAAAAATTGAAAAGAGAGAGTAGATAAATAGGAGTTGGTTAATATAATTTCTAGTATTATATTTTGTTGGGATATTTAAATGTGATAGAGCCACATTGATTGGCAATGGGCTATGAAGTGCATATAAGTGGGAGGACCCATGAACCCAATACTTTAAATTTTGCGTTGTGACATGTTATTAAATCCACTTGATATGTAGGCTAACCTTAGCCCATTAATGGTGGTCTCCCGCCACGGGCTTTCCCTAGACCCGCCCATTGAGGGAACAGTGACCATTTTGCCACGCCTTGCCAAAAAATTACCAGACTGCCACGCCAATAGTAAATTTTCAAAGAATGCCACGTGAGATAATTCGCTACACTGTGTAGCGAAATATGCTTGCAAATAATTCGCTACACAGTGTAGCGAATTATGCCACATCAGAATGCACAGTAAGCAAGAATAACACATGTCAAGCAGGTAGTAATTCGCTACCCTCTGTAGCATATTATGTTCGCAAATGATTTTTTGACACGTGGCACACTTTCGTAGGAAAAAGTTGACGTGTCATAATTCCCTACCACTGGTAGCGAATTTGGTCTGCAATATGGCCACGTGTCACGAAATTATTGGCCACGAAATTCGCTACCAGTGGTAGCGAATTATGACACGTGGCAGTCTGGTAAAAAATACTGTTCGCGTGGCATTTGAGTAAAAAATTTGACAAAACGTGACATTTTGGTCACTGTTCCCCCATTGAGTTTATAGGTCCTTTTTTTGGGTAATGCATCGGTTATGTCACAAGAAACAACAATTTTTTCCTACAGAGACAATAAACAATGTGTGACCCATTACTTTTTTTCTCTCTCTTTATATCGTGGGACCCATGCTTTGCATTGCCTCTGTAGGAAAAGAAAAATTGTTTCCTGTAATATAACCAATGTACCCCCCCCCCCCCTCCCTTTTTTTTTTGGTTGGGGGGTGGTCCTTTTACTAATATGTACCATGTTTAGCTCATTTCTTTTCAAATATGGGAATTTTAATCACTGTATACCAATCTCATGCGGGTCAGGTGGAGCACGTGGCGAGGGACCACCAACCACATCAAGTGAATCCGACATCATCTCACAACCCAAAACATTAAGGCATTGGGTTCATGGGTCTCCTACTTGTATGCACTTGACTTAACATGTTATTGTGGGGCATTGGGTTCATGGGTCTCCTACTTTTATGCACTTGACTTAACCTGTTATTGTGGGACTTGTTACACTTGAATATTCCAAAATATTTTGTATATCAAGCTATATCTTTACTTCACAACATTCGATAACAAGGAAGAAATCTAGTATTCTCCAAATATATATATATATATATATATATATATAGGGTTTTATATTTCTCATGTTAAATGAGAATTGAAATCTCATGTTGTAGAGATAAAAAGCATGTGGGACCCATGTGTTAGGAAAAATTAGATGTAGGACCCATGTCAGCACGGAAATCGAAGGGTGTGTAGGAAAATTTGAATTCTCATGTTAAATGAGAAATATAAAACCCATATATATATATATATATATATATATATATAAAATAAATAAATAGTCTTAAATTTGTTAAGGATCGACAACAGGAAATGTGGATAGAATAGAACCAAATCAGAGTAAGAAAATACAATGGTGGGCCAAATTAAAATGAATATACATTCCTCCCATTCATAATCGATCATGACATTTCCCCCCTCATTTCCCATATTTTGACATCGATTTCATTTTCCCAACTAGGATTTCCTGTTAGCCTTATAGTCAATTCACCAAATTACGCAGAAAGTTTAAACATTCCCCAAAAATTTTGAATTCACATAAGCTAAAACTTGCCTACGATCAAATTGACAAAACTAAGTGCATACTTTGGCACAAAACTAATAAAACAAAGTCAGAAAAATTCAATGCCGAGGCAAATTAAAACAAACAGATATTCTACCATTCATGATCAAACGTGATTTCCCCCGCCCCCCCCCCCCCCCCCCCCCCCCCCCCCTCTCTTTCTTTCCCCCGTTACATCCATAATTTGACATCAATTTCGTTTTCCAAGTAAGAGTTCCCCGTTAACCTCATTATCAATATATCAAATAAAGCAGACAATTTAAACATTCTACAACTACAACTTGCCTACTATCAAATTGACAAAGCTAAGTGCATACTTTGGCATAAAACTAATAAAAGGACAAGTAGCTAGTAAATCTAAATTAACAAGCTGAATCCAGAAAAAAAAAAAAGGGAAAAGAAACATACCTTGGCGGAAATAGTGGGAAGTTGGTGACCCTTGACTTCATCCTCTACAACATAGTAATCAGCTAAAACGACGACGTGTGTTTGGATTTCCTCGGATATGCACTTAGTTCCCGAACTGGGGATGGTTAACCATACGGCCTCAGTTTGAGGGACCATAAAATTGGAGAAGCATAACAATAAGAGCAGAGTTATGGTTGTTAACACAGAGTTTAGGTTGATGTCCTTCGCCATTCACGAAAGTTGATATTCGAATCAGAATCAGAATCAGATACTCTAAAACTTACTAGGCTTAGATCTAAACTTGTCGAGAAGGAAAAGAGGAACACGACTACTGGTGTTATTACAATTATAATATAATAATAATGGGAAAATATGTCTCTTCACCGCTACAAAGACAGAAGTTTTTTACGCGTAGCATATACATGTTTTTTTTTTTTTTTTTCTTTTAGGATACTGTTTCAAATTCTGAGATTATTTAAAATTGTGTACTAAAAAATATATGTCAAATAACTTTCTTTCTTTTTTTAATACAATGTCAAATAACTTTCTTACTTCAACATAAAATTAATAGAACCCATGATAATTATAATACAATGTTGTTGGTTTAAAGAAAAAATGTTTATCCTTTTAAATGACACAACTTATATCTTTTCATTTTCACAAAGAGATGAGATTCATATCTTTATTTTTATTTTTATCAACTCTTTTTTCTTATTTATCTATCTCTTTAATGGCATAATTTTACATTCTTTGAAATGATACACATTTTTCCCTGGATTTAAATGGAATTGAAAGAAAGTTCAATATAATTTTATATTTTTTAAAATAATAAACACTTTACTCTTAATTTAAATGGAGTTGAAGGAAAGTTCGTTGTTTACTTAAGGTGTTAATATTTATTTATCTTTTTGAATATTGAAGTGTTAATATTTGTCTGCGGATGAGTGCGCGCACAGTAGAACTGTAGATGTAGGCGGTAACGTATTTTCACATGACGTGGCAAGCCATTATCCAATCACAGCCCTTAACTGCACGCTTCGTTTACCTTTGGACATATTTAAAAAGAAAAAGAAAAAATCAATCTAAAACGGCGTGGGACTGTGCTTAAAAACTTAATCTGCCCACCAACCAACTCGATTAAAGTCAGGGTCATGTGTTCTATAGAGAGATTACAAGATCACTTCGATCTAATTTTATACATTAAAATATATATATATATATATATATATATATATATATATATATATATTCTATATAAAAAATTCAAAAAAAATTAAACCACCAATCATTAAAAATTTAAAATATACCTAACATAATTCAATCAAATACAGGACAATATTACACAAACTAATAAAAATATCAAACTATCATGGAATTAATAATAAGTTATATCATCAAACTCAGATTCTCTTTGTCCTTTTCCATCACCTACAATAATATATGAAAGGAGATCCCTTATATAGAGCGGCACAAGAGAGTCGACGACGCGACAAATCAACGGTAGCTAGGGAAAGAAGAACTAGAACGGTGGAGAATAGGAAGAGAGAAGACCGAAGATGATAGGAGGGACCACCATCACGACACAGGAGATCACTGAATCATGGAGACTGAGTCTAGGTCTGAGAGAGAAAATCAAAAGAAAAGAAAAAGAACGATTCAGATTTCAGATCTAGTTCTAGATCTAGACAACAACGAGTTTTTATTTTTTTACACATAAAACAACACCTTTTCGTATGTAATTTTTTTTAAAATACACACGGGAGTCCCGGGCTCAACCAAGAGTCAAAGGTTAAAGAAGTCAACATACATACATGTCTAAATGTTCACCTCAACCTTCAAAAAAAAGAGGAGATCAGTGATTGAATGGCATCTAGAGGTGCTAAACGAGTCAGGGGTCTTTGGCTCGGCTCGTGAAGGCCTGAGCTTTTATGTCTAAAATTGATTGTTGGAACTAGGCTTGGACTTGTATAAAAGCTCGTTTAATAAAAAGGCATCAGACTCCAATTTAAAAGCTCGGCCTTAGAGCCTCTTAGGCTGGCCTAATATATTAATTTTTATTTTTATTTTATATTTTTTATACTACTTGTGATAGTCCTCTCTCTCCTCAATTCATTTCATCCCATTTTATTAATTAAACAGACTTTTTGAATGATTTTGTTTTATATTATGTTGTTTGGATATACATTAAATTTATGAATATTTATGGAATTACTAGTGCTGTTGACTGTATATTTTGTTTGGATAAATTTTTGTTGTCTTATTTTGTTTTAAACAGGCTAACAGGCTAAATCAGACTTTTATTTTTTGTAAATAAGACAGGCCACAGGTTGAAATTATATTCATAACAGGTAACAGGCTTGGTCAGGCTGACACATTTAACACAGACTTAGCCTTTTAAGACCAAAGTTTGGCTCGGCTCGGATCGGCCCGTTAACACCCCTAATTAAAATTTTTGAATTCTTTCGAAATTAATTTTATTCACTGTAAAATTAATGTTATTACCAAAAAAAGTTAACGAAACACGCATGGTTACTACCTATGTAGCACCGATACGACATGCGACACGTGACACGATATGACACGACACTCCGACACGTCAATTTTAAAAAATTATGGATTTCGACACGTTGGGACACGTTTTAATATTAAATAATTTTTTTAATTTATATAGTGTATATTTCATTTAATATTTAATAATTTAACAAAAAATGAAACTAAATTAATGATACCCATCAACACGTTATAAAGATGGAAGCTTTAATAAAAAAAAAGAACTGGGACGAGAGAGAGATATAATATTAGATAGAGAGATCAAATCATATTAGAGAGAAATCAGAGAGAAGGAGATACAACAAGAGCGTAATAGGAATTGACAACAATGATGCTGAGATGATCTCTTATCTACTTAAGGGAAAAAAAGACAAAAAAATAAAATTAATATGATAAAGTGGAAGCTTTATTAATATATTTTAATTTTTTTATAAAAAATTAAAAAAAAAATTACGAAAATGTCATTTGACCGCGTTGGACACGGTCAAATTCGCGTGTCGGAATGGTCAACGTGTCGAAAAAAGTTGACCGCGTGTCTGACACCTTGTCGGAGCGTGTCGCCGTGTCAGAGCGTGTCGAACACGACTCCCCCTATTTTTACAAGTGTCTGTGCTTCCTTTTACTGTATAATCAGATTTTGATCATCACCGCAAACATGATTTTGTGATAAAACGAACAGGCTCTAGGATTTAGGAAGGTCATTAAAAATGAAGATGCCATATGTGAATTTAAAAATATTGTATGTTATATGTGTTTGGTATGAAACATTTAATTTTAGAATCAGGTAAATCCTATCTTTGTTAATTAAAAAAAAATTATAAAATGACATTCAGATTTTAAATCTTATTCTTACAATAAAAAAGAGCGTTAAAGATATATAAAATTATTAATATATTTTCACCCACCAGCTTAAGTTTTTGGATTGAATTAATTTTTTACATGATATCAGAGTCTCGGTATCCCGGGTTCGATCTTCACCGCCTCCTATTTTTTTGTGAAATTTCTTAGCAATAAGTAGGTTAGACTTGATGTCATCATCTACCTTTCAAGCTCAATAAGCCCTTTTTGAGAGCATGTGTTAGAAATATACTAATGTAGTCTCATCCACTAACTTAAACTTTTAGGTTAAATTAAATTTTAAGGAGAGTAAGGTTTTATATTTTCGTAGAATAGGATTCATTTTTGTTATCCATATACGTTATTTAATTTATCCTTATGTATCCTTGTATATCCAGTTATGCAGAGTGAAACATAAATATTTGTTTTGAAAAAATATTTTACAAACGACGGAAATAAAATTTTAAAAATTAATATATATATTAAGAAGATTTCGCAAAGATGTAAGAATAAATAAAAGAGTAAGGGGAATTTGGTACAGGAGAAAAAAAAAATTATCCGAAAAATAATTATTATCGGAATGTATTGGGAATATATTTTACTAGTAATGTTACTAAAAAACTATTTGGTAGACCTATATTTTTCCGAAAAAATTAAGTTAATTTTACTGACTTTGTGTTTAGTTGGTTATGAAATATTAGAGGGAATGTGAAGTTATTGTACCAAAATAACCTCACCTTTACCTTTTGATTCAACTAGATGGAGGATGCATGGTACCTTTACCTTTTGCTCTGACCCACTTCTTTAAACATCATACGAATTGAAAGACAATTTTGCCCAGATTTTTGAACTTTAATTTTGGCTTCCTTGGGAGTCAACAATTCCACATATTTTTTGGATATCTCATTTGTCAGTACTACTAAAATTTTCACATAAAAGCATTTTAACGGAAACAAATTTGGATCGGGAGGTCTTGCGATTTGTGCTACCAAACATTGGAAAATATATTCCCTTATCATACTTTCCTGTGAATGTAGAAATATAACGCGTACCAAACGCACCCTAAAAGATATCAAACGTTCCCATAAATATTATCTGAATTTGGTATCACTTCTTGTCATGTAATATTGTGTGTGATTTAACCTCCAAGTGTAGCTCAGTTGGCAACTGAGCTTCCAAGAATTTGCTTGGATCAGGGGTTCAAACCCTATCTCAAGCAAATTCTAGGAAAATCTTTGGGGACCAAAGGACATGCTTCTGTCTTCGAATGGCGGATTAGTCATCCTTCCTAGCATTCAGGCCGTACTCTGAGGACAAGGTGATCAGAGGAGGTTGAATGAGGATACCCTCCAGGTTATACCAAAAAAAAATCACAAATATGATACTGGGAAGGATCGAGCAGATGCTCTCACTCTCACCTGTTCAATTCTCATGCGACAACTGAACTATCATCATTTGATACGTAAACAATTCAATTGTCAATATATCTCACCCTTTATGACATACGCGTATTAATTAATTAATCCACTCTTATATGTATATTTTTTATAATACACAAATTTTTAGTTTTATTTTTCTTTGAAAAGTGACATGTGAAATTCTTAATTTCTTTTCTTTTTAAATTCATTTTTATTTAATTATACGTATTTTTTATAATTTTAAATATTTTCCTTTTTAGTGTACATTTTTATATTCAACTTGAACTGATTATGTATATTAAATTTTTATTTAAATTTAAAACATATGTTCGCTAGTTTATTTCATTATTGTAAGTATGATTCACGATAACGCTTAACAAACAAATAGAATGAGGAGAGAAAATGGGAAGTGGAGAAAATGAGTAACTATCGGAAGATTTGCATGTCATTGTTTGCAGTTGTTGAGAATGTATTATTACTTCACGTTAAATAGATTAAATTATCTAAAAGTTCT